GATTTTCAGTACAAATCGGCAATTTCATACTTTAACCCCTATTATTTTTTGTTAAGTTTTGGTTTTGCTCTCTTGTTACGTTTGTGTTTACTTATGTTCGTGTGAACATAACTGCAATGGAGGCAGAAAAAATATCACATCTTGCAATATCCGTAACCGAGAAGGTTATGATAATGAGATTTAATTAATGTCTACAAGCATACATTTCAAACCTGGCCCCAAAATAAATATTGGTCTTTGTGCGAGTGTGCGGGATATCTGAAAGAACCGTTCGATGGATACTTTGCATGAGTAAACAAAAGTCAATATTTGACATGTTAGCCGCTGATATCGAAGTAGACCCGATATCGAAAACAAAACATAGTTTCTGTTCCTAACATCCTAATAATTTTACAGAATATTCTAAGATGTTTCTTTTGCGTAAATTTCTGTGAGCTGTGACCATAGCTGTGACCCTTTTATTTCCTTGTAATTTTTGAATTGAAATATTTTATGACACAAAATTATTCTAAAAAGTTAAATTCTTAAACCCAACAGAGTATTTTTAACCGACTTCAAAAAAGGAGGAGGTTATAAGTTCGGCTGCATGTATGTTTTCCGATTTCTCCGTCAATTGGGGACCGATTTTGAAATTTTTTTTGTTTGTAAGGATGGACTCTCGGAATGGTCCCATTCTCACCAAGTCAGAATCTGATGAGTGGATCCCATGGAAATCGATGAAAATCCTCAAATTTTATAGGCATGTCGTGTACTTCCCGATTTCTCCGTCAATTGTGGACCGATTTTGAAAATTCTTTTTTATTTGAAAGGGTATAATCTCGAGGTATACCCTGTTTCAAATGAATTGAGAGTAAAGGTAAACATTGAGTGCATTGACCCGACCATAGTCGGTTTAGTGATGGGCAATTGTAGAGTAATTTACTAATCAATTATTGAATGAATCAGATCGATCAATTGAATCTGTTGGACTAACATCAAGTGAATTCCGCGCATTTGACCGTTGTAAATTGATTGAAGGTGATACATATAAAAACGTTTCTTTATTTACGATTATTGACATTTATTGTTTAAAAGTTAGAAGCTATCAGTTAAATACAGAAAATTATGAAAATACTTGATAGTTAACAAGTCGCTAAATCGTTTGTAAGCGGTACAGAAACAAGAGTTGGTCAAATGACTTCAAGACGTAAGTTTCTGGTGACTCTTGAGGCAATCACTTACTCAAACTATGATTCACTCAATTGAACTTTTTTCCGTACATCCCTATGCAACCATAGACATTCTAGACTATGGATTGTCAAATCAATCTCAGTTTTCGGCGAAGATTTTTCAATTATGATTTTATAATGCATAACAAACGAATATTGTTGGAAAAAGTGGTGAGATATCTAGTGGAAACCTACAAAATACACATAAAAGTGTTACTTATTCCATATAGTGAGTGGTTTCTTCAGAATTTTAACCCAACTGGTTTGTTTACGTTTACTCTCAATTCTATTGAAATAGACTATAGTCCCTGATGCCGACGATGCTGTTCCGGGTTCGTTTCGACTATTACAAATGAAAAAAATATTTTCCACAAATAAAAGTCGACTTTTCACTTGACACAATACATGGATTATAATTAATAAATCACCATGCCCATAAGCAACCAGAAAAAAAGTATAAAATGTACAAAAGAAGTAACACTAAGTCCTATTGCAAACAAGTAGTCAGAATCAGACGAGAGGATCCCAAAGAATTCGAAAAAAGCCGATGTGTAAACTTTTGATGTTGGTTTTTTTTCAATGAAAAAGTTACAATTATATTCATTACTAGTGAAAACAATCTTGTATTATATAATATTCGAGCCCTGTACCTTTGTACACTTGAACTTGTAGCTTTATATATATAACGAGCCTTGTAGCCGCGTGGTCGGTTTCAGTTTACGGGGTGTGCTCATGCTCTTCGGTGTTTCTAAGTTGGTTTTGGTCCGAGTATTCTGGATTATCGTTGTTTTAGTATTCATAGTACAGGAAATTCGGCAGTAGTTTGGCATTCTTTCCCCGTAAATACTTCTCTTTGCCATAGCTTTGAAGAAAATGGAATCTACCAGATATGATTGAGATACAACAACGCTATAATAAGTATCTCATTTCTACTATGTACATCGGGGAGCATGCTTTACATTTTTACAATTGTGAGATCTTGTACTCGTAATCTATTACGCCTCCGTATATTATTTCCATTTGAGGGCGTGCGGACGCTTCGGGCTTCGCCCTCCGCGGATCTTGGCCTCCGGCCTCGGCACTTATAGCTTTGTTTAAAAAAAACTGAAATAGCTCTTTAAGGGCTGCCATATTTAAAAATTGCAAAAATATATTTTGACCACTAATTATTATCAAACAATCGTAGACGTGCCAATTTTCAGTCCGAGCAAAGCAAGTTTTTTCAATAGCTATTTACATAAAAAAATACGGCTATATCGAAAAACGGCAGAAACAAAATTTTACCCCAAATTGTGATTGAAGTCATGCCATTTTCAGTCGAATTAGAAGAAATTGTTATCTACCGCCAAATAAGTTTGTATGGCAGCCATATTGAAAAAAGGCGAAAAATAAATGTCGACCGCAAATTATTATCAAACACCTACAAAGATCCCCACATATCGATTTTCAGTTCAATTAGAGCTAATTTTTATTAGTTGTTGAATGGCGGCCATATTAAAAAATGGCGTAAAATAATTTTTGATCACAAATTATTATCAAGCACTCTTAGAAACCCGCACATGCCAATTTTCAAAGAGATCAGAGCATTTTTTTTTCTACCGCCAACCAACGCTTCTATGGCGGCCATATTTGAAAATAGCGAAAAACCAATTTTGACCACAAATTATTATCCGGCACTTCTAGAGGCCTCCGCATGCCAATTTTCAGTCGAATCAGAGCAAGTCCATTGCAACAGCCACTTTTGACAAAAAAAAACGCTTATATGACAGCCATATTAAAAAATGGCGAAAAGAAACTGTTGATCCCAAATTATGGTTAAGGACTCGTAAAGACCCAATTTTCAGCCGGATCGAAGCAAGTTTTTCTTCGGCCGCCATTTTGAATTCGCCATCTTGTTTTTTTTTTAATCCAGGGCGTTGACCGCTATTAATCTCTATGATATTCCTTCGAGCACCTCCTACCTATCTCTAATAGTTTTTGTGATAGCAAAATTTGAAATTTGTATGGCGACCATCTTATTTATTTGAATTTCGAATATTTTTTACTTCCGGCGGAAATTGACCAGGATATCCTCATAAAGTGCACAAATATTCCCTCCATATATTATTTTTTTGCAGGCCGTTGATCACTCTTTCATATTTTCCACATTCAGGTCTTCTCATATTTGATTCTTTGCTTAGGAATCTATCCGCGTACATCGGTATAAATATCTTTTTTCCACCATATCGGGAAGTATGCGTTCTATTTCTATCAGTGAGTAAAAAATTTTAGCTTTATATATATAATAGGTATATACATAGATTTATTTATTCCATTATAATTATTAGTCAGAATAGAATGGGACATGTTAATCACTTGTCACTTTTTATTTTTATGGCTCCATTATTGTGAGAAATGATGATTTTGCCAATGTCACGGTTGAAAGAAAAAAAACTAAACCAAAAAAAAATTCGCTGAGCTCTAATAGGACATTAAACGGTGTTGGTAAGTTTGACCACGGGAGTACTCAGTTGAGAATGTAAAACAAAAACGAACGTGAAAAAGAGGCTTATGATCTGTCACTTTGACAGTGACAGTCGTTTGTTTACATTTTTGGACTTTGACTCTAAGGGTCG